TGGGGCTTTTGGGAGGTAGGTAGATCATTGGTGTGTGGTACTGGATTATGAGTGTGATACCTGGACTACTCCACTGATTGGTTTAGCATGTTTCTGGGTGTGAACAATGCAAGGCCCACCCTGGGTGTGGGTGGCACCACCCAATAGGCTTGTAGCCTGGGTGAAATAAAAAGGAAAAGAGAGAAAGAAGGCTGCTCCTTCCTACTTCCTGCCACACCTGAACTGTTTCTCCTCTGCTCTGCCACTCTGGCATGCTGCCATTCCGGGAAGCCAGTTGACTACAAACTGTGAGCTAAAATAAACCTTTCCTCCTTAAGCTGGGGATTTAGCTCAGTGGTTTTGCCACCTGCTGTGCAAATGCAAGGACCCAAGTTCAATCCCCGGTACAAAAATAAATAAATAAATAAACCTTTCCTTCTTTAATTTGTGGGTGTCAGATATTTTGTCTCAGCAATGAGAAAGTAATTTAGACACTCTACCTTAGTGCTGTGAACACCCTGCAGAAACTTTATTATTTTTTTTCAACCAATTCATGTACTGAAGGTCTGATTTCCAAAGCAGAAAAAGATCCTTAGGACCCAGGATCAGGAGCACTGGATTTGTTTGGGAAGTGCCATTGAGCTACTTTCTGCAGTCTGGCCTATAAGATGCTAAAGGAATCTAGACCTTAATCAGATTCCTTTTAGCAAAGAACCATAGCTCAAGACTTATACAACTTTTCTCCCTTACTCCCCTACCCCATCTTTTTTTTCTGTATCCTTCATCAGTTTCTTTCTAGTCTATAATGATGCTCTTTGGATGTCTTTAATGCAGTGTGGTCATTGCTTACTCACAAATGAAGAGCTGTGAGGCAGCGAGTTTGAGCGAGCGCTGTCAGCCCTGGGTTTACTTCCCTCCTCTCCCCTCTCCTCTTTCCTCTCTTGATTATCTAAGCATTTTATATTCTATGTAGCTTGTCTGGCTGGTTTAAATAGCGGCTTACAATTTTTTTTAAAGGAGGCCCTTCCTTCCAACAAATTCTTTCACGAACCTCAGTAGAAGAAAGATGAATATAGAGCAGGACCTACTGCCACAGTGGAAGCAGGCTATTTCCCCCCTGGGGTTTCCTCGTGGGGAAACTTCACTTGTGCTGGTTCTCAGCACTGGCTGTATATTAGAGTCACCTGGGGAGCTTTCTCAGCCCCCTCAGACCCAGGCTGCCCCTCAAACCAAGCCAAAATTTTTTTTTTAAATTTAGTACTGGGGATCAAACTTGAGACTTTGCACTTGCAAAGCAGGCAGTGGAACCACTGAGCTAAGTCCCTGGCCCAAACCAAGCCAACTTAATCTGAACTTCTAGGTGGGTGACCCAAGCAGCAAGCTTTTCCAAGCAGTGGTCTCCAGTGGGCGGGTACCTGTGGTCAAGGGCAGCCATCTGCTGTCACACTCACCCTCTTCAGATGAAGCCTGGAGGAAAGGTGCGAGCACGTCCAGGCTGAGGGGCAGCCCTGATGGGATCTCCCATCCTTTTTTGGATGCAGACTACAATTGTCTCACCCAGGACTAGCAAGCCCTCCTGATCTGATGGCAACTCCATTTCTTACACAGCTTAAGGTAAGAAAGAAAGGAGAGCATTTTATTTCTGCTACCTGAAACCTGTTTCCATACCTCAGCTGGTTCCAAACTGAGGCAGAAACAAGAGAACATAGCTTCTGAGCCTTGGGCTTTCCTCTTCTTTCATCCTGAAGAAAAATCCCAGGTACAGTTTTAGGGGGCTTCAGAGCACCATCTGAAAATCCCTTGGAAGTCAGAGAAGAGATGTGAAGAGAATTTTGGAGCTGGAGCACTCTCTTTGTGCTCTGGTTTCTTCCTCTATAAAATGGGGATGACAGGAACAACACTATTTCATAGGGATGTGGTGAGAAATGTGTATTCCTATAAATATGATGCCCTTAGAGTCTGCCAGGCACACTCAGCTGAGTGAGTGTGAGCTAGTGTAACAAACTGAAATGGTCCTCTGAAAGACCCAAAGGCTACTTGTGGAAATGCAAATCAAGGTCATTGTGGGTGTCAGATGTTGTGTCTCAGCAACAGGAAAACTGACTAATAGAGAAAATTGGCATCAAAAGTGGGGGCATTACATGTGACTATACATGACCATGTTATTTAGAAGCTTTTGGAACTAGTTTACAGGAGGTATTTGTAAAAGTTTAGAGAAAGCCAGGTGTGGTAGCCCACACCTGTAATTCTAGCACTCAAGAGTCTGAGACAGGAGGAGACATCAAAGCCAGACTGGGCTACATAATGGGTTCAATGCCATCCTGGAATACATAGCACTATCATCTCAAAAAAAAAAAAAAAAAGGCTGGCAAAGCCCTGCAATGCTATATGCTGAGCTTGGTAAATGGTTCCAGTTAGAGTTCAGAGGAACAGAATGCTGATAGGAATCATAAAATAAAGGCCAGGCTCATGGGGTTTCAGGAGGGAACAAGGACGTTCTTTGGCCGATTGGACTAGAGGTGATGTATGTTACACTTTTGCAAAAAATTTGCCCATGTTTTGCCCATGTCTGCTGGAGACTGAGATTAAGCGTGGTAGATTAACTAATCTTGTGGAGCAAATTCAAAGGCAGTCCAACATTTAGACTGTGCCACAGGAACTGTTGGCTGCGTTTAATTAGATTTATAGTGACAATTGGAGGCAAATGCAGAAAAATTTGAAACACTTAAATTTTGGCCCAGAAAGAACCATGTGTAAAGTTGGGGCCAAAGTAGGTGTGGCTGCTAAAGAGATTAGCACCATTAGAAAGAAACCAAGTACTTTGTTTAAGGATAAGAAGAAAAATACCTTGAGGACCTCTCAGAAGTTAGCAAAACCCTGCCTATTGCAGGCTTAATGGTGCAAGAGTGTAAACCTTTCATTTGAGAAGAGACTCTGTGGAAACACTGCTTAAGAAAGATCTAGGGAATTGGTGCTCCAGGACTCATTTATTGTGGTCAGCCATCCAGGCACTGAGAGGCCACCGCAGCCATGGGCCAAGGTGGTCTCGGTACTGCTCTAGCAGAGAAGAGACCATGGCATCATCCATGTGTTGCTGGTTTTACCAGTATACAAAATACAAGAGTTGTGGGATCAGGGAGGTTTTCATCCAGATTTTGAAAGAAGGTTGGGATGCCAGGCCAGGAGCCCCTGAGAGGGCAATGTGTGAACCTGTGGGAATGAAGCTAAATGTACAGTGGAGACCCCAGGAAGATGGAAGATGCCCGGATCATGGAATTTCTGCTAAGGAAAGCTGTAGGCCATGAGGGGATCCCACCCGAAGAGAGGCCATATGGGCTGTGACCAGGAAAGTCATAGGGTTGGGAATACCCAAGCCCTTTGTAACTCACATTTCACCACTTTGTACCTAGATGCTAGATACAAAGCTACAGGACTTAATGTTTTCTCTACTGGGTTTCAGTCTTGCTTTGGTCTCATTCTTTTCTATCCCACTATTCCTCCCTTTTACAATGGTAATATATACCATGTGCCATTGTACCTTGGGAATTATGTAACTTTTAAAAAATTTTTACAGAGGTTCACAGCTAAGAGTTTGCCTTGAGTCTCAGAGAGACTTTGACTTGGACTTTTGAAAAATGCTGGAATTGTTGAGACTCTGGAGGAGGGATTGTTGCATTTTTGGTTGAACACAAGACGTTAGGTGGAATTATGCTTTGTATTTATTTGGGATTAAATATGATGTAAGGTGGTGTGTTTGCGTATCAAGTTCACAATGGGTGGGATGTGATGGTTAAGCTTGATTGTGTCAACTTGATTGGCACAGTAGCCACCCAGGGGGTTGGTGGGGCATAGGTCCTGGGTATGTTTGGGTAGGTCATGGAGGCATGGCTTTGGGGTTTGGTCGCTTGCCCCTTCCTCTCTGGTATTGCTTCCCTGTTCAGTTTTCTGGGAGCCATGAACTAACATTTTTGCTCCACTATGCCTTTCTGCCATGATATTACTGCTTTGGAGTCAGCCAACCATGAACTGAATCTCCTGAATCCATGAGCTGATTTAAAGCAGACTTCTCCTCTTTTAAGTTGTGGGTGTTGAGGATTTTGTCCAAGCAATAGGAAAGCTCACAAATACACTGTTTTACCACTCCATGTCTCAAAGGCCCAAGTTCTCACTCCTGAGTTATGATGGAATTCAGAACTGTAGGTACTAAAGCCAGATCAGCCTCTGAGAGAGAGGCACCCATTAGGCTCAGGCACAAAACCTAGGCAGTTGGGATCAGGTGTTTGAGAATTTGGCTGACAGGCAGTGCAAACACCCACTTTTAGATGCACAGCTGGGAGGAAGTGGGCTGTTGGGTTAAGAAAGGAGAGAGCCCAAGCCTTAAAGAGCTGGTCATATCTGTGGAGACTTCTTATCTCTCTGACTTGGTCTCAAGGGTTATCCTGGTCATGACTGTCTGCCTCGAGCCCTCCCCAAAACATCCCATCCTACTTCCATGGCCATGACCAGCCTATCTATGTCTGGATTCAGTGTTGACCATTGTTTCAAACTATCCTCCATTTCCTTGCTATGTAAAGTGTGTGTCCCTGCTTAGAAACTACCTCATCTCCTGGGAGGTTGTTTTAAATGTGTGCCCAACCCTTCCCCAGATCTCCTGAGACAGAATCTGCATTTTAACAGGTTCTCCACAGGATCCATTATGGATGGAAGTATAAGAAGCCTGTTCCAGTTTTCTCCTAGGGCCCCGAAGTGCCCTGAGCAGTGTCTAGGGACAGAGCTGGAGTGCCATAAGTGCTATTAATTCACAATTGATTCATGGCAGCTGGGGATGGGTAGGCTGGAGACGTGGCAGGCACTCAGCATGGTATCCCATACTTTTGCATAACAGAGAAGTCCAGGGCCCCAAGAAACAGGGCATTTTGATGTATTGCTGGGCAAGTGATGATGGTGGATTGGCTGTCCATCATGGCTTGGAGACAGAAGCCTGTTCCCAGTGGGAAGAGTCTGTGTTTCCTGTGTCTTACCTCATTCAGCTTTTCAGGACTGAAAACAGAAGTCAGGACACCTCTGACTTCTTCCCATCTTTTGTCACGCAAGCAGAGAATGCTGTTGGCTACTGGCTTGGGCTCCAAACCTGATGCCTGCTGGAAAGAAACAAGCAGAGGGTCAGGACACAGGGAGCCAAAGCCACCTGGGTGGCAATACAAGTTCATGGTAAACACCCTGGTTAAAGTCCACCAAAGAGTGGAACACAGAAGATTTCTCTCGAGAGGACACAGAAGACTATGGATGGCCATGGGTATGACCTAAGATTCACAGCAGAGGCACAGGAGGAGCAGATGGTCATGCTCTGCTGGCCTGGTTCTGCCCTGTCATAGTGTGGTCATCACTATGGAAAGAATTCAGAGGCCCCTGTGTGCTGAACAGACACACCCTGGAGTGAGGGTCCTCTCAGGACAAACAAGGCAGGCTTCCTGGAGGTGGCCTCTCTTGTGGGCTGGAGGTTCCTATCTGAACTTGCATCAAGGGGTTCAGTGGACTGGCTGGGTTGGGCCCAGAGTTGGCAGACTGAAGTATCCAGGTTTTTGAGATATGGGTGATAGGAAAGGGGAGACAAGAAGGGAGAGACTTCTGGTAGCATGTCGCAGAGCATGTTTACCTATGCTTCCAGGAGCTCACCTGCCACTGTTCCTATGCTTTATCATTCATTCATTGTTCTCAATCAACAAACATTTGTTGAATGCCTAATATGTGTGCTGTAGGCTGAACTGTGTCCCCTCCAGAACTTCATATAGTAAAATTATAACCCCAGAACCTCAGAGCGTGATTATATTTAGACAGAGGGGCCTTGAAAAAGGTAACTGAAGGAAATAAAGCCATTTGGGCTGGCCCTAATTCAACATGGCCAGTGTCCCTATAAGAAGAAGATAATTAGGACACAGACATGCACAGGTGGAAGACTGAAGAGACAGAGAGAAGGTGGCCATCTGCAAGCCAAGGAAAGAGGCTACAGGCAATACCAACCCTGCCACCCCTTGCCTCAGACTTCCAGCCTCCAGAATTGTGACAAAGTGGATTTCTGTTGAGTAAGTCCCAAGTCTGTGGTACTCTGTTAGGGCAGCCTTTAGTAACCTCAGGCTAGATCCAGGAAGTTGGTTATAAAGGTCTTGAGTGAAAAGACTTTGCTTTGGCCCTCATGGGGTTAGCAGTTGAGTGGGAAAGGAGAGAGTAAGCTTATAAATTAGATGTCACCATTTCTGAGAAAGTGAACATTATGAAGAGAAAGAGGGTGTGGCGGGCACAGTGGAGGATGCCATGGTCAGAGAGCATCTCGGAGGAGGCGCCTTTGAGGCTGAGCCTGGGAACACACCAAGAAGCCAACACTGTCCTCCTGCCTTTTTCCCAGGCCATTCTACAACTTTCTACAACCAGTTCTCCCTCCAAGTGGTCACGAATGGAGCCCACACTGTGTCAGAGTGGCCCCCAGCCCCAGGGCCACTGGGTGTGTGGCGTCAGGGAGGTTACAGGACCAAGCCTTCCTCAGAACCACGTGTGATGACGGTTACACTATTTCTTTTCACTGTTTTAATTATAGTTGAAACATGAAGCCAGCCATCATAATTCAAAAGCCTTGTAAAAACTCCTATTTAGAGGAAAATTGTAATTTTCTGATAAAATATGAACACTCAAAATAAGCCATAAAATATAACTGCAAAGTATCTAGAGGATTTAATTATATATTAGAACCAAGTTGCTGGGATATTTTTCTGCAGAGGAATACCTCTCTATATTTAGAATGAAATTCTTTAGGAGTGCATGGCCACTAAATTATGGTTTCATGAAATTTTTGGAACATAATCTGTTTGTTTAGGTTCCAGAGTTAAAGGAGGAAATCATACATTATGTGTATTTATAGAGTGGCAGAGCCCCATCCTGTGCCACACTGCAAATACATTTCACTGGAGAAAAGCAGGAGGAAGGTTTATGTGGTTTTAAAGAGATAGAATAAATTAGAGATAAGAATCAAGATTGATTGGATTTGGATCCGTCCTCAACACCTGAGGACTGGATGCTATTTTAATCCTGTACCTGAAGGACAGATCTCATCCTCTTCCCTATGTCATCATGACCCGCAGATATCTCTCCACCCACCTGCCATAACACCCCTCCCCCTTACCCTAGAGGCTCTATTAGAATCTCCCATTTTTTGGTGGCAAAGTTTGAAGGCTTTGGCCATGGTCATGTCTTGTTTCTAAATGTTGTACTATAAGAAGAAGAGGAGCAATTTGGTTATTTCAAAAGAGCTATGAGTTGGTGAAAGAACATTAAATAGTGCAATATATGAAATAATCGTTAGATTTTAGAATATTTAACTGAAAAAGAGAAGCTTTGGAAGATTAGACAGTGGTACTTAGTGGTATTGTGCTCAACAAATATTTATGGAATGCATATTCTAGTATATGAAAGAAGGAGTTTAGATTGCAATTGGATTTAGCAGTAGAAGCTTAGGGGAGACTGAACTTTCTCAAGGAGAACTGTACCACTGGTCAGTGAGCTCCCAGTTACTAGGCTCTGGGCTCCACTTCGGGGATATTGTGTAGCAAGCATGGGCATCTGGAGGGGCTTGGTCTAGACCACCTTTCAGAACTCTTCCAATCCAGAGGCTTCATCTCCTGAAGACTACACCAGATATTTGAAAATTTGCTTGTTTACAGTTTTTGAAAATGGTGGCAAAATACACATAAACAAATTTTATCATCTTAACCATTTTTTTTTTTTTGGTACAGGGGATCGAACTCAGGGCTCGAACTCGGGGCTTTGTGCTTGCGTAGCAGGCGGTGAAACCACTGAGCTAAATCCCCGGCCCCTATCTTAACCATTTTTTTCACATACAGTTCAGTAGAAAAAGCACATTCACTTGCTGGGAAGCCATCTCCACCATCCATCCATGGAGCTCTCGTCATCTTGCAAAACTGAAACTCTGTACCCACCAGGCACCATCCCCTCCCCTCTGCCCCAGCCCTGTCTACACATGCTCATCGATAAGGTTTACTACAGACCACTGCCAGAATGGACTGGTACACGTGAGGGGGGACTAGGAGTGCCAGGCAGGGTGGAGAGCTGGGTCTTGGGGAAGGAGGCCCAGGGACATAGAGCTTTCTGGACTCCTGCCTGGCATCCTGGCTGTGTGTTCTGACCCTCAGAGAAGGCGCTTCCGGTCTCTCTGTGGCCACGCCTTTCCGGACCAGGCCAGGCTGTATCAGGAGATCAATGTAGCAAGTGGCCACCAGCACTTAGAGAAGAAGGGAAAGAGAAACAAGGAATACTATAGAACAGAATAGAAAATGTACAGGAGCATTTCACAAAGGAGGGGCCTATATTTTGTTGCTGTTAAACACATTAGGCATACGTGTGTGTGTGTGTATGTGTGTGTGTGTGTGTGTGTGTGTGTATTCTGTGTCAACATGGGAAATATATTTCTTATTTTAAGTTAGGGTCAAAAAAAGTCTGAAAAACCGATTGTAACCCAGAGCCCAAACTTGACCGTCATCTTCTCTCTCAACCAAAACCCTATCAGTCACGACTCTGAAATCTCTCTTTGATCAGCCAACTCTCTCCCTCCCCATGGCCACCAGCCTGGCAGCGGTCATCGGTCATCATCATCTCAAGCCCGGACTGGTTCCCCGGCCTTCAGCCTTGTCATACCGTCCACGCTCTGTGCAGTAGTCAGTGGGGTCTTTCTAAAGCACAGAGGTCGATCCCACAGAAATGGAGCATGGAATGAATGGTGGGTGCCAGCAGCTGGGGGGAGTGGAGAGAGAAAGGGGGAGGTTGACCAAGGTGCTGGGTTCCAGTTAGATGAGAACCAAAAGCTCTGGTGTGCTACCGCACAGTAAGGTAGTGACAGCTATGTCTCAAAAAGCTGGAAGAAAATATACTGAATAATTTCACCAAGAAAAATGATACATGAGGAGATAGCTATGTAGCCTTTTTATTGTTGTTGTTGTTTGTTGGTTTTGGTTTTTTGTTTGTTTTGAGACAGGGTCTTGCTTCGTAGTTCACGCTGTCTCTGATCTCACTATGTAGCCCAGGTTGGCCTTGAATTCATCGTGATCCTCCTGCCTCAGCCTCCCGAGTGCTGGGATTACAGGCGTGTGCCACCATGCCTGGCATAGCCTTTTAAACATTACACAGTGGGTACATGTATCAGAATACCACATAGTACCTCATTATTATATAAAATACCTTTTTATGTATTAGTTAAGAAATAAAACGTATCTAGCCCTGTCCAGCAGTTTCTCCTGTGCTCCCTGATGTGGTGTACAAGCCTGGCTCTTGCCAGTCCTCATAGCACAGAGCCTGAGGGGTTCTCTGACTTCCGGTCCTTTATAGTCATAGTCAGAAGACACAAGTGGGGCTTTCTGAAGTCCAGGCTGTCCTTTCTCCTCCAGCTTGGGTGGGGAATGTGGTCCAAGTATGGCTCCCAGAGGCCGTCCCCTGAGTTCAAGTCTTGGCTCTGGCTGACCTTTAGAAGTGATCTTTCTGGGCCTCAGCTTCCCAGTCTACAGCTGGAGATGATAATGCTACCTCCCCCCTAGAAGGGATGCGAACTTCTCACTTATCAAGGACTTACTGAGTGACCCATATGGGGCAGGCACCTGGGGTACTGCTTTGAACCAAACAAAGCCCCCTGTCCTCCCTGATTCAAGTGGAGAAGGCAGACAAAAAACATAAGTAAACTTGGGAGTGTGGTGGGATGGGGGTGTGGTTCACAGTCCGCACTGGGCCCCTGGGTGAGAGGGATGTCAACAAGTTCTTTATGGATCTGAGAGTCAAGTTCCAGGTGCAGGAGCCATTGCAGGAAGATGCTGAGTCTGAGGACCCTTAAAAGAGGGGTGTGGTGGGAGTGGATGTCTGGGAAGCCATGAGGGGCATGTGCGTGGAGGGCCCCCTGGGCCTGCTCGTGCCTTCCACCCTGAGTGACTTGGGAGGCATGGAAGAATTTCAAGTAGAGGAGTGTCCTGAGCTGACTGGTATTTTTGGTGTTGAGAATAGACTATGAAGAGCCATGATGGAGGCAGGAAGAGCCATTGGCAGAGCACAATGACCAGGAGAGGGGACAGAGGCTCAGCCTTGGGTGGTG